AAAAACTCTTTGAACAAGACTGTGTTCAGCCAGATGTTGGATAGCGCCATAGGGAGTGGAGTCATTGGGCCTGAGGAGGCTTAAGCCTTTCCAAAAAACTGAAGGGAAAGGCTGGAAGAGACTCGATATCTTCTGACAAAATTTTTCGAATCTCATTCTGAATTTATACCGGATGTTCAAAAATATTATCAATATGGTTTATTTTGTATATATCTTTGTATGCACAAATACTAAAATCTTGAATTTTTTTTCAAAACATGTGATGTCAGTGATTTCTAAAATAACTACGAAAAAATCCTGCTGACACATTCTGGTTAATTTTAGAAAACTGAAATAAAAGATGTAGAAAACATTTCTACTTCCGATTATGTTGGAATCAACAAACATATTTTGAAATAATATCTATTTTGCATTTATTTTCTCACAGAAAAATGATAAAAACGTGAATAGCTTATTGTAAACGTTTCGAAGATAAAAAAAAGTATAGATATGCGAGAAGCTGAAAATTTTCACCATAATAGTACACTGAACGGACAAGAAATGGCATAATTATCATCAAAATCAAGTTTAATGTACAAAAATCCGTTACTCAATACGATGACACTATCAAAGTGTTTCGTCTCATGTTCGAAAATTATCTTAAAGATTTAGAAATGAATAACTAGGCAATTAGTCGTTTAAATAGATGAGCAAATTCAGTTCAGAAACGTGAGAAATTGTAGTATTTTGTACATCTTTGCTTCTAGCTCTCTCGAAATTGGTTAAGATAAATCAAGAGAACGTTTTGCTTCTTTGAAAAAAATCTAGGTTTTCAGAATTCTTGCGCGAAGATAAATTAGAAATATGTATGTATATTACAAATATTTTTATTACTTTCAATATAAAGGGAAGTAGCAATATTTTATACATCCTATTTAATTGTCTAAGAACCCATCAGAATCGGTCCATATGGCCTTGTGATGCAGTTGTCACAGAGAATTTAACAGCACCTTCTAGGATTCATTTTTTCAGAATATTTCTATAAGTTCCGGTACTAATGTGTTTATTCTAACATTAAATGGAAGAAATTAAGGCAAAGACGGACACCTTACTAGAGGTGAGGACTCATTCTTCTAGACCAGAGATTTTTTTTAGTATAGTTAAATTGCATTTTGTGTTATCAAACAGAGAAATTCCGTGATTTAAATGGTTCCTATGAAGACCAAACAAATAACTCCCGAAAGATTCTCAAATTCAACGGCACATCTTTTGAAAAAATTCCAATAATAAGAGTAAGAGTTAGAGAGCTAAAAAAAACTCTTCCTCCCTTTATATCACTCGACCATCACTGTCTGAAAAGATTTGAGCCTCCCCTAGGTTTGAATTGTTCCGCCGCCTCTGACTCACACCCACATCCCTTTCAAGACAAAAAAGGACAGACTTCTATTATTTAAAAACAAAAAAAAATATGTGAGATTTGATGGGGCAGAGTCACTCTGCTCTGTGGGTGTGAGTGTGAGTGGGGGTATTGCTGAAGAGAGCAGTAACTAAGGAACTGCGTGACCGACTTTTTTTGGCCACGGTCACGATCATAGTCACTGCCCATGTCGTCAAAATCGCCTAAGTTTTCGCGATTAATCGCGATTTTTCAAAATACTAACGATTAATCGCGATTACGAGAAAAAAGTTGCCGATTAATCGCGATTAATCGTCAGTATTTTGGAAAATCGCGATTAATCGTCGGTGTTCTGAAAAATCGCGATTATGAAGAAAATCGCCAATTAATCGCGATTAACCGGCAGTATCTTGGAAAATCGCGATTAATCATCAATATTCTGAAAAATCGCGATTGATCGGTAGTTGTTTTATATTATCGATACAGCACGATTAAACTGGCGATTTATTTAACTTAAAATTTTTTGACTCAAGCTAAGAAATTATAGCAATGCTCGGTCACTTCCCATGTCATCAAAATCGCGTTCGTTTTGGTTATTAATGGCAATACCAAAAAAATCAGCAATTAATCGCAATGTTTCAAAAACAAGTTTGTTAGTTATGTCGATAGAAAAGTAAATAGAATATATTATTTTATTAGGACTGAAAGTGTTTTTTAATTCTTTTTGTCAAAATATTTCCATAATTTTCATACCAAAATTGTGAAGCGAAAATTCAGAATGAACATTTACTGGTAGGCAGATTTTAACCAATAAAAAAATATATACAATCCTTATTATTTATTTTTCGTCCTCTTTATAGTGTACATCGTCTTGATCTATCCAAAAAAGTGATTGTAATTCTATATTTTTTGAGCGATGAAATGCGTTTTTTGTCATGTTTAATCGAAGTGTTTTTCAAAAGAGTTTTAGCGCCATTTTATTAATGCCCGCATATTTATCATAAGATAAATAATTTTTTGTCTATTTTATATTTATAATAAAAATGAGCAGTTTTTGAATAGCCAAATTTAAAAAAACAATATGAAAAATTTTTAGAAAATGCAGTAATAATCATTATTTAAATATTTTATTCTATTCAATTACATGAAACAGTAGAATTTTCGACCAGTGTCAGCTGGAACCAGTTAGTAAATTCGGTCATCATCGGTACATAAGAATAACGAACATCAATTCATCACCTAATAGCACATCACTTGAAAGACAATACACAAATCCAATTATTAATCCAAATTATTAAGTTCAAGTTTTAGGAACTGCAAACATATAGTCATAATTTCAAATAGATAAACTTGAATATAAATAAAAGTCATATGAAA